ATTGATTCCGTCAAAGATCAAGTTTTTTCGCTTGGACTGTGCTTCCAAATACTCCATTTTATCCGTTATAGCTATAAAACTCTCACAGGTTTTGTAGACGTCATCCCTTGTCTATTTATCTCTATAATTGCTATAATTTACACATTTAATTACCGATTTATCCATCCATCCATTATCTATACCATGTATTCCTGAAAAGGGCTGCGGAGGGGCTGGAGCCAAACCCAGCTGACACTAGGCGAGAGGTAGCGTACACCCTGGACAAGTCGGCAGTGTATTGCAGGGCTGACACGTAGAGACAAACGCCACTCCTACGGGCAATTTACAGTCACAGATCTACCTAAACTGCATGTCTCTGGACTGTGGGAGGAAGCCGGAGTACCCGGAGAGAACCCACACAGGCACTGGGAGAACATGTCAATCCACACAGAAAAGCCCCAGATCGGCCCAGGCTCGAACCTGGCGGCAACACTAATCATCATGCCTATTTACAGAATTTGAACAATAAAAATTATTCTCATTTAAATCAGCTAAATTTCAAATTAGGCTGCCTTGAACAAATACCTATTGGTTTTAACAGTCCAGAGCAACATTTTTTCATCACATTAATAACAATTAAACAAAATAATTTTATTCACAATATATCCGTTACATTTACCTGTGATTACTCCACTTTACTCTCCTCCTTGCTCTTTGTGTATGTTGCTCACTCACAAACACGTTGTGTTTCCATCACTTCAGGAGACATCACACTGATTTACATTCATTCTCCAGGGGACTTACTTTAACCATAACCACTGCTTGCCTAACATCACCCTAAACTTAAACCAAGTCAGCACTCTAAACTGCAGTGGTAAACTTTTTGTCCCCACAAGTATGTTCCCTCAATGTGTGTTCAGTGGGACTGATATAACAGACATTTTTCTGTTTCTATTACCTTTAGCATCTGTTTATATTTGGATAACCACAAATACTGCACTTCATTTTTAGGTGGTTTGTAAAACAAATTATTTTAAAGTTTGTCCGGTGCTGTGGAGCACTTTTTTTTATTTTGACATTTGTTTGACTGAGAGAAAGACAGAAAATGTCAAATGTATTTAATACAATGCAATACGTTTAGTATAATTTAATTTTTCATTTAAAAAAAGTTACAAAAATGTGTGTCTATGCTGTATTTGCAGTTCTTAGAAAGAATGAAAATTGGAATCAGCATATCAGAAAATTGCAGTCGGTGCATCTCTACTAAAATGACCATAATATTGACAACAGTAATGTTAATAGTAATGTAGGCCCTACTGAATCTGTTTCCTGGCATTTAGTATAATCTAATAAAAAAGCCAAATATACTGTTATGTATCCATAACACTGCTCAGCCCCAGTGTGTGCTATGTACTGGGTTACACTGTTTAGCATTAGAAAAATAAATCTTACCTGAAAGCCACACTTTAAGCACACTAGGATGTCATGTGATGCTGCTGGGTCTCCATCTATCATGGTCCTCTCCTTAAGGCACTCAGAGCATACCAACCAAATGCTGGACAGTACCGATTTCTTCACTGTGCTCAGGTCCACAGCCTTACTTACATGCTGGCAAGTCAACCCTAATTAAAAATATATACATGTATTTATTAATTATGATAAACCGACTAGTGTTTCTATTGTTTTGTCCACCCCATTTAGAGGTTGGACTAAATAACAGAAACTATAGTATAGTGTAGTACAGTTCAACAGCAGCACAAACTGCAGCCTCCAAAGTGACCACACAGTTGAATCCTCATCTCTCTGAAACAGTTTGAACACAAACTGAACATCATCACCTTCATGGAGTACGATTCATGCAACAAGATTGTTGGATTAGACTGCAAACGTTTCATCTACGTAGGTGTAGCTAATAAACTACCAAGACAGTGTACAAATACAATTCCAAGATAAATTCCCCATTATATGTTCCACTGGTGTCATGAGGCTTGGTTAACATACCACCTATTTTCCTTGTCTAGAAGGTCGTATTTATAAATTCTCTTAGACAAAAAAACCCCTGTTCAGTTGAAACATATGTTAGGTTTCCATTACTAGAAACAGTCACGACCAGATGACGAACGCATTTGTGCAATCCTTGACGAACTTGGTAAATATTGACAGAAAGCACTATAGAAATACTATCCTACTGTGTAATGTACTCTACATAGTACTGTATTGCTTTGTAAGCATAATTAAAAATGTTATATCCCCTGTATTACACAGGACTCTAGCAAATCAGTGCACACAGCCCTAACATCAACAGTCTGGTGCCCTGAATTGCTTCAGTGACTTACCACTGACTTCATCTGACGACTCCTCATCTCGGGGTTTCCTCGGTTTATTGGACCGCTTAGTCATATCGGCGGCTTTTAAAGAGAAGGGGTCTTTTAGCCGCATCTGGAGCTCTGGATGGGAAGATGAAAAACAAATGTAGGTGTTACTACACAAACTTAAACAACCTCCGCACAACTTGAACATAGCAAAGCTTGCACTCAAATCCCCATTATCATCTTATCATTTTACTTACTGCAGCATGAAATACTGTTAAAACTAGCCAGTGTAGTCCGTAAGTATCTATAGTGATACATTTATGTTGCCTTTGCACTACAGCATACTGACCTCAAAATCCATCATGAGATTAAAGTGTAATTTATAAATATTTAGTTAACGTATTTACATTTGCACAATATAAACTTTGTAGAAATTGTAGCGTGTTTAACATATACATTTTAAGAATTCCAGATCTGCTGGACAAATTCTTCTAAATTTATATAATCTCTTTTAAGATTGACTTGCAAATCCTAAGAAAGAAAAGACTGCCTGAGGTCTTCTGTACAGTCAAAAGACATCTGCAGATTTCCTTGCGATGGTCTGCCAGGTACAATCCTGGCAAAAAATAATAGATCCCCTGCATTTCTGTCAGATAATGCACCACTTGTCCAAAGAAAACTGTAGCAATCACAGATTCTTTGGTATTCTCATGTTTATTTCTTTTCTTTTGGACCAACACACACATAAAAAAAAGAAATCTGAAAAAAAGGCAAATCAGATAGATTCCACATAGAATTCCAAACATAGACTGGACAGAATTATTGACACCCTCAACTTAATATCTGGTAGCACAGCCTTTGGACAGAATAAGTGAAATCAGTCACTTCCTGTAACCATCAGCGAGTTTTTTCCTCCTCTCTACTGGAATTCTGGACCACTCTTTTTTTCCCCAACTGCTCCACGTCTCTCAGATTTGAAGGGTTCCTTCTCCCAGCTGCTGTTCTGAGATCTCTCCACAGGTGCTGTATGGGATTTAGACCTGGACTCATTGCCGGTCACTTCAGAACTCTCCATCTCATTGTCTGAAACCATTTCTGCTACTTTCTGAAGTCTGCTCTGGGTCATTGTTCTGCTGTAAAACCCATGACCTCTGATGTAGACCCAACTTTCAGACACTGGGCCCTACACTACCCCAGAATTCTTCAAAAGCTTTATTTGACTGTCTGACTCATTTTCTTTTCTGAAAATAGCAGAATGATGTGCTCGACCAAAAAGCTCTATTTTAATCTCACCTGTCCACAGGACAGTCTCCCAGAAGGACTGTGGCTTCCTCAGGTAAGTTTAGACACACTCCAATATGGCTGTTTTATGTTTCTGTGTCAGCAGTGGGGGCTCCCTGGGTCTCCTACCGTAGCGTCCCTTGGCATTCAGATGGCGACAGATAATGTGAGCTGACACTGTTGCACCCTGTGCCTGCAGGTCAGCTTGAATTTGTTTGAAGTTAATCGAAGTTCTTTATCCACTATTCAAACAATCCTTCGTTGCAATCTGTCATCTATTTGTCTCTTTCGTCCACGTTCAGGGAGGTTAGCTACAGCACCGTGGGCTGTAAACATCCTGACAATGTTATGCACGATGGACACAGGAACAGCCAGATCTCTGTAGATGGAGTTGTAGTCTTGAAATTGTTCGTGCTTTTCCACTATTGTGCTTCTCAAATCCTCAGACAATTCTTCGCTCTTCTTTCTTTTCTCCATGCTCAGTGCACGGCATGACACAAATGATTAGCCAACCTTTCTCTATTTTAATTAGTTATGATTTTTATATTGCCATCACCTGCTGACTGCTAAATGTGAGTTTTATTACAAATTAAAGGAGCATCACATGCTTGAAATACAACTACTTCTGATGATTTTGAAAAGGTGTCAATCATTCTGTCCAGTCCATTTTTGGACTGTGGAATGTATCAAATTTGACTTTTGTTTCCATCTGCTTTTTTGCTCCAATGCAAACAAAAGAAATAAACATGAGAATACTAAATAATTTGTGATTGCAACAATTTTCTGGGAAAAGTGGTGTGTTATCTGACAGAACTGCAGGGGTGCCAATGTTTTTGGTCATGACTGCATTTATTACTGCCATGTTCACTTCTTCCCAGTTTAGAGGATATTTATATTTTCAGTCTGCTCTTTAAGATGAAACGCCTGTTTAGGACTAAGGTCGGGAAACTGACCTGCCCAGTCAAGAACACTCTACTGTTTGGGCCTAAAACTTAATGGTACCTTGTAGGTTAACGATTATCCTCTTTCATTATTCTACAATTGGGGTGTCATGCGTGAAACCCTTTCTATAGCGTTTACTGAATACAGACAGCCCGTTCTCAAGCACCCTTAAAGTTAAAAGTCACTTGTGCCCAGTCAAACTGCCATTTTTACACCACTGTACGGGACTGTCGAGTAAAAACAACAGAAAATGTATGCATAGTACGGGATAATTACTAGTAATGGGTTAATAGGCCTCAATTAACTAACATTAGCCCCTAACGTTCCAATGAGGTGAGCATGAAACACCTTTATGCTGTTTGTCAAAGAAACTTAAACAATGAACTAATGACTTGCCCCATCTGGCGAAAAGACTGTAGGAACTTACCTCTTTCTTTTAGTTCCTATGGCGACTGTGCTAGCTAATCCGAAGCCAACAGTGAGATGTCAACTCCTCTTGGCTAGCAAACAAACTAGCTTGTCGGAATATATTAACATGTGTGTTTTATACGACAGTACACGGAAAGATTAAGGCATTTCGAAGACAAGTACAAAGCAGCGACAAAAGTAGGAAAATTGCCTTAATAGGTCTCCATTTTTGCCTCTATCTTTCGAATTTTTTCTAGCTTTCGGTAGCATCAACTAGCCACACTAGACAACATGTGACGTACTACGGCAACTCAGGTAGGCCAAATGCTGCATTCAGGGCCACGGAAACGTCAAGGCAGCTAAAAGGCTTCCCTGGTTTTTATAATGTATAAGTAAATACCGAGTGATCCGTTTGGTATATTATAATTACAGAGACCTAAATACAATAAGTACTTATGATGTCTTTGTTCGGACTACTAAGGAAAGTATTTTTGTCCCTTAGGTGATCCGTACTTTGCGCACGCGCAGGACGTGAGCAGCGGAATTTCTAATGGTTGTTGAGCGCAGTGTTACTGTGTGATTACGGATATATGTTGACTAAGTGTTAGGGCGCAACGAGTTGTATATGGCTCTCAGAAGGTACTGCAAGTTAGCAGGGTTTGTCCCGCGGCTGTTATGGAACGGTACCGGGCTTTCCCAGACTTCTGTCCCAGGAAGACGAAGCTCTGTGTCCAGCTGTATCAGCACTTGTCGTGGTTGCAAAAGTGAGTTTTACATTTAGTTGTCTTCATTTCTTAGCTTACCTACTGCCCATGTGAGTGTCAGCCTGACGTTGACAGTGACTCACTGGTGACTGTTTTGGCAGTTTATTAGGTGTCCCAGCTAAAAGCTAACTTAATGCAGTCTAATGGCGCATTCCTTTTGAACTGGGAACTCGGAATTTCCTAGTTCCCAGTTGAAATTTCAACTGGAATGCCCCCTGAATTCGGATTTCCGACTCGGAAAGTCGGACGAACTTCAACCTCGATCTCAAAATCAAGATGGCTACTCCGTCGATCAGCAGTAAAAAAAAAAGCTGTAGTAATATACTCTTTAATAGCACTTGTGTCTTATTCGTGTCTCATTAAAAACAGTGACACACGTAGTACTGTCCAACCTCAATCTGTGAACATGTTACTACAGTGTTTGAATGCACAAAATACCACGCGTTATTTTAAACTGGTACTGCTAACAACGGCTAATCTGTCTGAACTGGTACTGAAACTGGAACGCAGTTAACTCGGGTGTGTTGTCATTCCTGGCTCCGAGTTCCGAGGTAAATGGAAAGCACCATAGCAGTGAAATAAAATCCTCCCTTTAAGAAGCTCCTAATGTTCAGTTTTTGTTCGAACAGTTTAAGAGTGGTGGTTATTCAACTGTATGATCACTTTGGGGGCTGTAGTGTGCGCTGCTGTTGAACTGTGTTACATCATACAGAGGGCTGTTTCTATTATTTAGCCTATATGGCTGTTGATTTAAATGGGACGGGCAAACCACCTTCATAAGGGAGAATTTATTGCAGCACTGTTGTATTGGACTACATTAGATTAAGCTAGGTGTACCTAATAAACTGTCAATGATTGTACATACTGTTTGTTCCATTTCAGGCGATTCACTCGGTACCATCCATGGATATCATGCTGGCTCTTTTCACACCCTAAAGCTTGATGTATGGTTCTCCATTGAATCTACGCTGTAGGTACCGCATAGGTAATGTGTAGCCTCGTACCCTATGTGCTCGAAATGTGTTTAGAACCCCCTCAAACATGGTGCCGGTGATTCAGAGTGCTCCAGCCACATCCACTAGAGGCTTGATGCTTGTAAGTGGTGGGTTATTGAGCAGTGGTGTCAGGAACATATTATTCTTCCATTTGAATGCTCCATGGTGGGTGTTTTGCCTTTTCTGCTGGTGGCTGCCCTGCAGGGTGTGAATATACTGTATATCCCGTACAATATGTCTTGTACCGAGTTAATCGACTGAAAGAGAATTAATTATTATGGTTATAATTTCAAGGAGAGGAACGAGGTACATCACCCTGTTGCCCCACTTCACAGCTGAGATCAGCCAAGAGCTGGGACAACTGAGGTGCAGGAACTGGGGGACAACTGTGGTTGTGGTGGTTTATAAGTGCAGGCGTGGCTGCACATACATCACCACAAGCTGTCAGCCTTAGTGTGTGAATAAGAGTGTCTTCAGCCAGAACACAGGAGGGCGTGATATCCCACTCAGTATGTGTTCTACCTTGTGTCTCTTCTTCAGGGAACAGAAGTTATAGTCATTACATTTCATTTTGCTTTCAGCTACAGAGCTACTGTTCTGCAGATTCAGTACAGCACCACCAAGCACGGATGTGAGCTATGAGCAGCTGAAGCAGCTCCTGGCTGGTCAGAAATCTGTGCTTATAGATGTCAGAGAACCCTGGGAGCTCAGAGAGTACGGCTTCATCCCCGGCTCAATAAACATTCCCCGTGAGTGTTGCTCTACCTAAAAAACCTGGACTAATTTATTTGTGAGGCAGATCATGTAGTAACCAATAATTTGCATTATCTGCAGGTCATGAACAAATATGGCAATATTCTAAATCCCATCAATTCTGTCACACAAAGCATATGCATATCAGATTAACTTGTAGAGGCTATAGCAGCTTGGTCTGCTTGAGCTTTATTTCCAAGTTAATTATCTGTGAAATCCTCTCAGTATTGCATTCAGTATGAAATTAAAAAGATCATCATGGCAGGAACCTGCAGACAACATGGTAAATGGTATGAGAGAGAACATGCTTCCTAACTTTGTTGATGGTTAATATTCCTAATATGATTCTGACAAGTGTAGTTGCTCTGATATTCCTTTCAGTAGTTCCCATAAACACCAAATCCATCAGCGTTTTGTTTTATCTAACAGTGCCTGTTTAACTTTTGATCTGTCTGTGCATATTTGTCTTTGCAGTGGGACAGGTGAACTCTGCCCTTCAGCTAGGGCCAGAAGAGTTCAGAGAAAAGTATGGCTGTGAAATGCCCCAGCAGACAGATAACATTGTGTTCACCTGTCTGGCAGGGGTCAGGGCCAAGGAAGCATTTGACGCAACCATCCCCCTGGGATACAAAGAGTGAGATGTGTTTCTTTGGCATATGTCATGTCCGTGCAAATTCTGAGTCATCCAGGTCGTAGTATGCTGAAAAAAATTTAGAAGATGGCATATGGAAGTAGTTTTTAGGTAGAAGACGTTTCACCTCTCATCCAAGAGGCTTCATCAGTTCTGTCCAACTGGTTGTCCAGTTGCCTTCGTGTAAGTTTTTTTTCAGCGTTTGGCATATGTCAGAAACATTGATTTTTCACCTCACAGTGAAATCTACAAACGACTGAATTATTGCCATGTTCAGCAAATTTTGAATAGGACTTCTTGATGTTGTTCCTTCTTGTTAATGTAAACCCTTTTTTAATATTGAAAAAGGCCAGAGGTGCGTTATGTTTTATAGCTGATTCTGGCAAACTGAATGTTATGTTTAACTGTTATATTTAATCACAGTTCAGACAGAGGTTATTGACCTGTTGTTCCATATTAAAGGTGCCACATACACATGTGCAAGAGACCAACAATGGGATTATTTAATGGCACATTTAACTTTGTGTCAATACCTGTAAATCCAAAACAAAAGCAATTACATATTTGAGTTGTTGCAGCAGTGCGTTGAATTTCTTTCTTTAAATTAATTTCAGTGTTCAGTATTATGGAGGCGGATGGCAAGACTGGGTGAAGAATGAGGAGAAGTAGCCCAGAAGAGAAAAGATAACAGAAGAGGAAAAATATCCAAGGTCTTTTTTCTAAATGATCCAAGCTCATATGGTAAATGTGTGTCATGACGAGTCTTGTAAAGGGTTTTTAAAAAGTCCATGCACTTTTCTGTTGTTTGTTTTTCTCATCTCTAAATCCCTAAGAATTCAAACACAGGGCTCAACATACATCATCAGTTCTGTTATTTTTCATTACATGATTTATTCAGAGCTTTTATAATATAACTGCAAGTTACTTGGAAATTTGTTTCAAACAGCCACTTATAAACCCTTTGCAACTTGTAAGAAAACACACACACAACTGGTGACTATTTTAAACTATACTATAATTATGAATAGGCATTGAAGAATGTGCAATATGCAAATGAATACTTAACAGAAGCTGAGAATGATTGGGTGTTAATTAGTCTTCTGTTGCATATTATGAAGAGTTTTCACGTTGATGTGTACTGTGGCGGGTTGTGCATTAATGCAACAGTCCGTGGAGTTGTTGCCCGCATCTTTCAGTCAATAAAACTTTATGATCAACAGTGTTATTTGGTTTGTGGTATTTTTACAACTTATAGACATTGTTGGGCAGGTCTAATAAAGTAACAGACATTCCCTTGGGTAGTTTCATATACACAGGCTTGCTGAGGTGACAGCTGATGATTTATGGTATTAAAGGGCAATGACTAACATCCAAACTCTCCAGGGAACACTAACCGATTCGTTCATCATCCTTGATAATGAAGGTGTTTGTCTTTAGCTGAGATGAACACTTCTCCTACAGTGTGTAGACTGCAGCCATAGACCTTGTTCCTTGTTAACTTCCCCTTTTACAACTTGAGCTGAAAGTCAGAACGATACACAGATAGTATTCTCATGATCAGTTTGCTCAAGATTTAGAAATGATCCAAGTGTATCACAAAGCCTATAAGCAGCTTATTGATACTGAGTTATTGTCAGTAAATAAGAAACTGAGCTTTAAGTGACTCTTAATGCATGAGTAAATGTGTTAATTCTGCTTTTATTAAACAGTATTCTCCAAGCAGGCAAGAGAATCCCTTGATTTTTTTTTTTAAAGTCATATTCACATGGTAAAGCATCAGTGAGTCTAGCGCCTGTAATCACATGCTGTTACTTGGCCTGTTACATTAAGAAGAATATTTGTAAAATTAAAAAAAAAAAAAAAAGATTTAGGCTTTACCATCTTGTTTTGTTTGGGGTACTGGAAACTGTAGGTCCTCTTTAAAAAGAGAGCGAAAAACCTTTGTTGTGTTCCCTTACACCTCATGACTTTTCCTGATTTTATGAGAATAACTTACGGTTATGGTTAAACATGGTTTTAATGTGATGATTTGTTTCACAAGTCAAAAGCTACAGGAAATGACACATTTATTGCAAAATGAAGAGTTAGTGGAGACAGAGTCTTCATGACTGAAATATTGCACCTCTTGCTGAAAGTCTCGTGCTGCTGCAAGACCCGAGGCCAGTGGAAATGAGTAGCTGCTAGTTTAATCCATGAAGACAAAGTGTTACAACAATAATAACTACGACAGAGTTCAAGTTTTGTTTTGGTTATTCTGATGTCTTCTCTGTGTGTGTTAGGTTTTCGGTGGGCATTACTGGCAGTTCATATTTTGAGTAAATGTTAAGCACAGGGCACCCACGGGGTCATTTGTTCAAGGGACCCTGTGGGTGTCAATGGAAAATTGCCCTGTACAGGCATAACCACTGTTTTCTTCCCTCATATCACTGTGTCATGTCAACTGGAAACTCCAGACTACAGCCCCCCTTCCTTCTCTTCTGCCTCCTTATTGTCCCTTGGAAGCAGTTAATTTTCATTTTTTCTGCATCCTCCAGTTTTAATTTCTTGAAAATGGGCCAATCTAATAAGTTCTAATTTATGTCAAATCTTGCCAGGGCTCCTCTGTAGCCACAGCCTCGTCAGGTCACCCTCCAGCTCTCAATTAAAGTCCTTCATCCCATCAGTGTAGATCACATCATCGCTGTACCTATTGACTGCTATGACTGACTGGACCTTGCCTGCCTGGTTGTATGAATGCCTCTTTATCCTCTGCCCAGTGCTATAGTGGACACTGAGGTGGTGGATGTATCCTGGCAATACCCATTATTGGTTCTTAAAAAAAGGCACACACACACACACACACACACACACACACACTGATACTTGTGAAACCTCCACCGATGGTGTCAGCCAGTATGCCAGTACAGATCTGCTCCTCACAAGCTTCTGACAGAAATCTGAGCAGCAGATCAAGCCTGCTTTAGTGTAGAGGTTCAAGATTCCACAGATATTGACTGATGACCTGGGCTGTCTTCAACCAAGCAAGGGTATAACTGGCAATGGGAGGTATAAAACCTCAGACTGGGCTGACAATCAGAATGTAAGTAAGGCAGGTGGAGTACTAGTGAAATGTAGTGAACTACAAACAGGCCCTGCTTAAGTATTTCTTTCATCTCCCTTCAAAGTGCCAGAAGAACAGGCCCTGCTGCTACCATGAGTCGCAGCCCGGAGAGAGTCTCGTCCTACCGCTGTCACTTTGAGGACAGCAGCAGTTTGTCCTACCAGGTCACATTGTCCAGTTTATCACTGACCAGGAGAGAGGCCTGTCATGCCTGACTACTCCTGCAGAGCCAGGGCGGGCAGCACGTCTGTAGAGTCAGTGGGAAAAAAGAAGCGTCTCGGCTGCATGCAGGTCTCGCATGGTTGGAGCAGGGTAAACTGGGTCAGAAGAGTTCCTGCATGTGAAAAAATGTAGAGTTTATGAAGACTGTATAGTTAGATTAAAATTGAATTAGGTGGCCTTGTAATAATGCTTACCTTATAAGTAATTTATTTATCTATTTTAAGTTTTATTTCAGGGTCATCACTGTAAATGTGCCAGTGTTAGCCAGGAGGCTAATTTTCATCCGCTGGCCCTAGGCCAGGTGTTAAACAGCCCTCAAAACAAAACACACCATATAGGAAACAGGACAAAGAAAGCAAGACATAAAAGAACTACATAAAACCTAAGGGATAAAATGCTGAGACAAGAATTATGAAAACGAAACATATAATAAACAACTGATACAGAACAATGCTAAACAATCTGTGGCCCTGATGTGTATTAATATATCTTTTCAGTGTGAGTGGAGACGTGGTATGTGTTGGGCCTGGTGGAGAGCCTCTCATAAATCTGGATGTGGCTGCGGAAGAGAACAAGGAATTCCTCACCACACGCACAAATGAAAGACAGGAAATGAGTGTCCTCAATGACAGACTGGCTGTATACAGTGATAAGCACATCAGAGCACATACTTTAAGTATAGCATTCAGAGCAGAGTGAAAATGCCTTTCATTGTAAAATGGGGGGATATTATTCTGACCTCTGGAAGCACGTGGACAGATAACTTACTGTGGTGCCTGGTTTAGGTGATGGTTTCATATGCTTACAGGTTTGATCACTTGAGCAGCAGAACAATCTACTGGAAGCAGAGATCGAGGCGTAACAGAACCGCTTTCACAAGCTGTCAGGTCTGTGCCTGCTGTATGAGGAACAGCTGAACGAGCTGAAGAAGATCACTGAGCAGATGAGGGTTCAGTGCATGAAAACACTTTGTTTTTGTTTTTTACATTTCAGACCGTCATTAGAGCATAAAGACCGAATTCTTTGTTTCTGGAAAGGATTACACCTCACTGAGCCTCACTGATCCATCCAAGCAATAATACAAGATGTCAACTTGGTGCTTTCAAGGTTCCTTACCTGGTAACAGGCTTATTTCTGGCAGGCATATGGAGAGGTGTCTCAGTGTGTTATGGTGTCAAAGAATATAGCTGTTCAGCTGTTTTATGCACAGATGAGATGGCTTGATTTTGCATTTGAAAACACACACACATGGACACACAGATATGAGGTTAAAATATAAAATGCAAAAGATGTTGATCTACACTCCTGCACACACCTTCAAATCAAATTGACGACCATATTACTTCTGGCTTCCCGGTTTCCTTGGCGGCTAAAGAGTCTACAGCTGCTCAACTCAACTAGAAGCAATCAAAGTTAAATATGAGGAGCCAGTGGAGCTGAAGAAGAAAGCTGAAATAGAATTTGAAGCTTTTTATCCAGTAGGTTAATTTTAATTTGCCAGTATCTCCTTTGTTATCAAATTAATTAGTAGTCTTACCAGTAGCACAGGAATCGGACCACTGGTGGGTGGGAAATTCAGGTGGGAATTTTGGCAACACTTAGGCATATGTGGAGCAGGCTGTGGAGCTGATGGAGAGAAGGACAGTGCTCGTTAGGTAAAATGCTGATCAAATATCTGTTCTTTTCTTAAACAAAGCTGATTTTTATCCTAGGACTCATTCGGACAGACCCCTGTTCAAGAAGCAGTGATTTAAAGGGTCTAAGTGCTTTATAATAGCATTAGGCACACATACAGCTGTCCACGGGTCTAATAAGCCTCTTTTGTCACTTCAACCCTCTTTTTGTTCTTTCTTCCCTACAAAATAATCAAAAACAAGGGTGACGTGCTGGAGATGGACCATAAAGAACGAACCTACACCATTACTGGTGCGGCCGATGACTCTGACAACGACTGACCAGCACAAAGTCCCAAGTGACCTCCTCTTGCCCTTAAACCTCCACGCCCCTCGGAGCTTTGCACTGACCAAGTGCCATGTCTGGGCATTGACCTTTGCCCTTTGCTCTGGACAAGAAGAAGCTGAATGAGCCTTTGCTACAGAGTGAAACCTTCTTCTCATTGGTTTTAAATATGCCTAAGAAAACTCAACATGGCCTCTAAACCTTTGTGGGCCTTACACTCCCCCTTTCTCTGCTCCCTGCAAATAAAGCCACCAGCATTCAATTACCTTGTCTTTTATTTGATGTCTTTTTTAAAGCCCTTGTTTGATTAGTCTGATAAGGACACAGAATGTTAGTACTATATTCATGAAATGGTGGTAAAAGAGTTTTTGCTTAACTGAGAGAGATGTTGCTCATGCTTGTAGCTTTGGCTTGAAAGGATGAAGAGTGAAAAAGGGAAAGAAAGGACAGAGGGAGCAGCAAAACACACAGAAATATAGAGTCACCTGAAGGTTGAAGCAGTCGCCCTGACACTTGGGAGGCCTAAGGAATCTGTCAGTCAAATTTTGTCCTGCAGCGGAATGATGGCACACAGCCGTTTCCTGTCCTCATTCCATCTGCATCCACACCTCTTCCTCCTGCTGCTGATTGGGAGTGATTGGATCTGGCCAGCAGATGCCAAACACGCTCAGTGTCCTGTTCAGGGGCTGAGAGCAGAGACATACAACAAACCAATCCTCTGACAAAAACTGAAACAAAAGACAGGGACAGGACCAGGAATAGCATTACTGTATAACTACAATTATAATGGATCACTTTAGTGATAAAGTCAGCTAAAGATCTAAACCCTCATTCTTACTCCACAGTGAAATGCCCTTAGATATAATGGATCCTTAAAGTGTTTTGTTTTTGTCAAAGACGCCATTTAGCAAGGCAGTAAAAAATTAAGAAATGTAAAA